TGTTCACAAAGCTTCTAGAAAGAGGCACCTACATTGTTCTCTACTTCCCCAGCTCCCATCGTTCTCAGTCCAAAACTACAGTTTCTGCTTTCAGTATTTTACTGATAACTACCCTTCCTAAGACCAATGATAACCTCTGCTTTTGCCAAATCCAGTGAGCATATTTCTGTTCTCACTTGTGACTGTCTACCTTCTTTGCACTAATTTTCATAATGCTCAAACTACATGACCTACCTGAGCAATCTATCACAAACGTAGAGTTTTAACTAACACTTTGGTATTATTGGCACTTTCTAAATCTCTGTCTCCAGTGAGGAGTTTACTCTTGAGCTCAAGACCTGCCCTCTGGACACTTTTCTCTATATGTCAACAAGACCCAAAATGAGCTCATTATCTTCCCTTCTATACCTCCTCGTTCTGAATCCTTGTTCTCCCTGCCTGAAACTGAACATTACCCTATCACCCATCAAGCTAGACACTTAAAGGACATGCCTCTGCCTTTACTCTCTAGAGGCAATTACTCATAGGAGCCTATCAATCCCAGCTCCTTAACATCGTTTCCTCTCAGTCACTGTTGCTGCTGTCACGGTTTAAGAACTCATTATGCCTCCTATGGACTCTCGCCACAGCCATCTGATTCATCTTCCTGACTCTCGCGTTGTGTACCTACCTTTCACCAATCTAGCCTCTATGCTGCTGTCAGGGTGGTCTTTCTAACATGCATATCTGATCACATCACTCTGCTTAAAATTCTTCAGTAGCTCCCATGGTCATGTTTCCCAAACTCGTCTCTCCCCTAGAGGTTCTGATTCATTAGATCAGTGTTAAGACTTAAGGGCCTGTATTTTAATGAGAGCCCCAGGTGATTCTTATAATTAGGCAAGGCAACACTGATCCAAAGAATTAAATTTCAACTTTTTGCACAGCATGTAAGTTCAGCCTCATCATTCCTGCCTTCTCTCCCTAGAATCCCCTCACTACACACACCCTGCAGTTAGCCTCTAACTGCACTGAGTCATATATAATTCTTCTAAAGTGCCATCACACCACGTTCTCTTACACTTCAACACCTTGGTGCATGCTGCTTCTGCTGTCTACGATGCAGACTTTGGCTTATCCAAGCCGTCTTGCAATTCTCAGTCCAAACCTTACCTCATCTATAAAGCCTTCTGCAATTTTCTTAATCACACGTAGAGATACCTTCTCCTATGTACCTGTGTTTCGTGCATACCCCCATTAGAGCATTTTGGCATACTCCATCCTGCATTCTAATTGTTTAAATACACACTGACCCACCAGACTGGGGAATTTGAGAAAATAAAACCTTTGTCTTCTTATCCATAACACTTCACAAAAAGCCTAGTATTAAATAAACATTTGAGGAATTACCAAAAAAAATGACTGAAAGCCACAGTAACTGGAAAGTATTGGCCAGCTCCATTCTAATAATAACTAGCTGTCTCATCATGGAACAAGTAAAACCCTCTCAGAACTTCAGTTTCTAAAAGTGACAGATTTAACACATGATTTCTTTTGGCTTATTCCTTAACATTTTATTATGGAAAAGTTCAAGTACATATAAAAGGAGAAAGAATGGCATAGTGAACCCCTAGGGCTCACGGCTACCTTTAATCACTGTAATCTCCTGGCCAATAGAGTTTCCTCTCTACCTATACCCATTTCTCCCTCTTTGGATTGTTTCAATGCAAATTCCACCTGTATATCTCTTACTCCATTAATATTTCTGTATTTAACTCCAAAAATAAGGACAGTGAAAAACTTTAACACAATACTATAATACTTTGGTAGACTCAATGGTCATATTCTTTACACATCTGTTTATTAGGATTATTCATACAAAACCTCCCTTGGCATAAAGTATTTCCCTATTCTTTGAATTTGGGTTTGTCATGTGAATTATTTTCGTCAAAGAGATGTTTGTGGACATGACCCAAGCAAAGCTTGAAAAGTGCTTGTATGATTTGGCTCACCTTTGTATGCCCCTACGTCTGTGTAAGAAGAGCATACCACCAATAACCATAAGATAAGAAACACGTGGAGAAATCCTCTACCCAACCTAACACGTGAAGCTGCCCCAACAAACTCACAAATAAATGCAAGAAATAAATACCTATTGCTACCTGTATTTTATAGTTGGTTGTTATACACAAAAGCTTAAACAATAGGTAAAAAATGGTAGTAATTTCTGAATATCAAATACACAGAATGTCAACCAAATGATTTTTTTGTTTATAATTCTTTACATTTGAAGAGGTAAAATCTATGTACAATGAAATGCACAAATTCTACATATTAAATATACCACCCTATGAACATTGACAAATAGTATATAACTGTATAACCCAAACTCTGTCAAGATAGAGAACATTATTATCTCCACAGAAAATTCCCTCAGGCCCCATCTGAATCTATTCTCTTTACTCAACACTCACCCCCTCAGGCAATCACTATTTTGATTTTCTTTTGCAGCATAGATTAATTTTGCCTGTTCTAGCCCTTCAGATAAATGGGATCTTACAGTTAGTACTCTGTGTAAGGCTTCTTTAACACAGCCTGTTTTTAAGACTCATTTACGTTGTTATGCACATCAGAGGTTTCTTCCTTCAGAATGATGAGTGGTATTCGGTTTAGATATGCCACAGTTTGCTTATCCATTTTTTTCCTGATGGACACAGAAGCTTTATACATTCTTGGCTAAACTGCTATGAACTTTTTTATGCAAGTTTTTTTTAATAGACATCTATTTCATTTCTCTTCTGTAAAGACCTGGTTTTAAAATTTTTTAATTGTAGGCAAGGTATAATTTTAATGGATATACCTTTTTCCACAATAGTGGCACCATTTTTCATTCCCACTAAGAGTGTATGAGATCTCTGGTTACCCACACTATTCCCCACATTTGATGTTGTTGATCTTAACTTTCCAGTGGGTGTGTCAAGGTATTTCACTATGGTATTGATTTGCTCTTCCAGTGTCACTAATGATGTTTAATACTTTTTCATGTGTTTGTTGGCATATTCTTCTGTGAAGTGTCTGTCCAAAATAACTTGCCAACATTTTGTCATGTTACTTATCTTTTTTTTAAATATAGTTGTAGGATAATCTTGGATACAAGTCATTTGCCAGGTACATGTTTTACAAATATTTTCTTTCAGTATGTAACCTAGTTATTCAGGTTTTAATGTCTTTTGAAATTTAACTTTTTCTTTCTTCTTCAATAAAACATCTTGAATTTCGACATTGCATATTATAACCAGGATATTGGCTTCCTTACGGTTAAAAGCCAATGAAAAATGTAAACACATAAAATATATTCAAATAATCCTTAAAAACCTCAAAAGAAGCTGGGTGGTGCCTGTGGCTCAGTGAGCAGGATGCCAGCCCCATATACCGAGGGTGGTGGGTTCAAACCCAGCCCCAGCCAAACTGCAACAAGAAAATAGCTGGGCATAGAAAATAGCCAGGTGCTGCAGTGGGTGCCTGTAGTCCCAGCTACTCAGGAGGCTGAGGCAAGAGACTCACCTAAGCCCAAGAGCTGGAGGTTGCTGTGAGCTGTGATGCCACAGTACTCTACCAAGGGTGACAAAGTGAGATTCTGTCTCTTAAAAAAAAAAAAAAAAAACGAAAAGCTCAAAAGAACAAACGGAGAAACCAAATTTTAGGGGGACTAATAGAAAATGAATAAAAGATAGACCTACATCCAACCATATAAAAAATTACCTTACATATTAATGACCTACACAATTATGCTAACAAATTTCTTAGAAGAAATTGATAAGCTGGTTCTAAATCATATATGGAAAGGGAAAAGACCTAGACTAGGAAAAATAATTTTTAAAAGAACAAAGTTGAACTATGTATACGATCTAATTTTGAAATTTACTATAAACTTTCATTAATAAAGGGAGTATGATATTGGCCTAAGACTTACAGGTCAATGGGACTGATTTTAGAAGTAGAGTCAGACTTAGACAATGAACTGATTTTTTAACAAAATGTCACTATTAATAAACAAAATTGAATTACCTCACAGTAATTCCAAAAGATGATGCTGGAACACTGCATCTTTTTCTGAAAGTTTGTGCAGGAACAACTACATTTTTCCCAGAAGGAAAATAATAAAACCCAAGTCTCTCTCTCTCTCTCTCTCTTTTTTTTTTTTTTTTGGATAACATATATAAAAAGTATCTTGGTTTAGGTCATAGACCAAAGAACTAAAATCATAATACTTCTAAAAGAAAAAGAGGAGAAAAATCTTTGCAATATTGGATAAGTATTTCTTTAATAGGTCACAAAGAGTACAAATTATAAAAGAAAGAAAATGACTAAATGAACGGCATCAAAATTAAAAACATGTGCTCTTTGAAAAACAAGATCAAGAAACCAAAGGGGCAAAGCACAGACTGAGAGAACGTATTTTTAAAACATGTACCAGACAAAATGTTTGAATCTAGAACAGGTGGAGAATTCTTACAACTCAATAATAAGGCAATTCTGAAATTTTTTTTAATGATCAAAAGATTTGGACAGACATTTCGCAAAAGAAAACAAAAATCCAATAAACATGTAAGAAGGTATTTACCAAAGTGTTGGTGAGGATGTCGAAGAGCTAGTATTCTCAGGCTTTGCTGTTTCCATTGGCATGATGCTAAACTCCTTTTGGAAGACAGTGTGGCAGTGTCTTATAAAGTTTAATACATCCTTACCTTATGAGCCAGAATACCCCACGATAGACATTTATCCAAGATATATAACAAAACAACTCATGTGCATGAATGCTCATAGCATCATTCTTGTAAACCACAAACTAGAAACAACACAACACGTTCAGCTGGTGCACAGATAAAGAAACCGTGACATGCCCACACTATAGAACATATTTGGCAATAAAAAGGAACAAACTACAGGTACGTGCACCAACATGGATGAAGCACAAAAGTTTCTATTACCTGAAAAAAGCCAGACGGAAAGGTGATAGAGGGCAGGTCAGTGGCTGCCTGGAGGCAGTAATCACCCGTGGAGATAATCAACTACAAATGGAAAAGAGAGAACATTTTGAAGTAATGGAAGTGACTTGGTCGTGCTATTGGTTACACAGCTGTATACAATTGCCAATATCATCAAACTGCACATTTAAAGTGGGGCAATTTTACCTCAAAAAAGCTGAGAACTTACATATGAGAAAATGTAATAAATCATGTAATATCAACACTAAAGTTCTCTGATTATGAAACTATTTTCTTTTTGTACTGTAAGGGAAAAATAACGAATGAGTGCATGAATAGGCGCCCCCCCCCCATTCCTTCTTTCTACTAGAAACAATGAATCCATGTGGATGTGGCCTCCATCAAAAGTGATGCCATGGTACAAATGAACACAAGTAGAGTGCAAAGTAAAGTTATTTATATCCAAAATTTCCCTTCTAATGCTTCAAATGATTCAGAGAGAACACTGACATCATCATATGTGATTCAATAGCTTTTTAGTGCTGTTTGTCCATTTGGGTTCTCTTTATTCTGTTACTCTCTAAAGTTGTTCATCAAATCCTCAGCCAGTCTCAGACACAGCACGCACTCCGGTCCTCCACATACCATCTGACCTGTAATGGAAAGAAAAGCCATCAGTGTCAAATGTCATTGTAACTCCATTGTCATTCAGTCATTGCTTCATTCATCTGAAAACAATTTACTTAGTGCTTGAGTGTCAGGGCCAATATGAAGAGCAAAGAGGCTGTTTAAGACTTGGCTGTGTATGCAAATAAATGCAAATCAGCATGGGTGACAGAAAAGTATACTTACACAAAATGTGAGACATATATCCCAGTCTTCACTGAACCCTACTTGCCAGAATTCTCATTTTATACTCAGGTTATATTATTATCTCTATTTTACAGATGAGGAAATGGAAGCAAAAAGAAAGTCAGAAACATGTTCAAGTCTTGCACAAATCCCTGCTATAGCTATATTGTCTACCCTATAGATCGTAGAGTGGACAACACACATCACAATACTAAAGATAAATAGGCCAGGACGCGGTGACTTACACCTGTAATCCCAGCTCTCTGAGAGGCCAAGCCAGGTAGACTGCCTGAGCTCAGAAGTTCAAGACCAGCCTGAGCAAGAGCAAGATCCCATCTCTACTAAAAAAAAAAAAAAAAAAAAAACTAGCTGGGCATTGTGGTGGGTGCCTGTAGTCACAGATAATCAGGAGGCTGAGGCAAGGGGAACACATAAGCCCAAGAGGATGCTATGAGCTATGATACCACAGCACTCTACTGAGGGCAAAAGAATGAATCTCTGTCTCCAAAAGATAAACATTGATTTTAAAATAGAGATAAATAAATAAGCAAAACTAAACAACAGTCATTGTTCCTATCTTTTTCTTTTTAGAAAGAGTCTCACTCTGTCACCCTCAGTAGAGTGCTGTGGTGTCAGAGCTCACAGCAACCTCTAACTCTTGGGCTTAGATGATCCTTTTGCCTCAGCCTCCCGAGTAACTGTCTCTGTAGGTGTCTGCCACAATGCCCAGCTATTTTTTTGTTGCAGTTTGGCCAGGGCTGGGTTTGAACCCACCACCTGCAGTATGTGGGGCCAGTGCCTTACTCACTGATCCACAGGCACCACCCCATTGTTCCTATCTATAAGCAGTTCACAATCTTACAGGCTGAGTACATAAAACAGGTGCCATGACAGGCTTATGAAATACTTTAATGCTATACTGGGTGCGTGTGTGTCTATATGCGTAACAAGCCAGAGACAAGTAATGAAAATACAATGACCACAATTCACCATCAGATATTTAAATTAGAACTGTCCCTCCCTTCTAGGAATCTTTCTGAGTTGCTGAGTTAATAGAAAAAGATATGGTTGGGAATAATTTTGCTCCATTTTCAAATTTTTCTATAATATTTCTTCTATTGTAAACTCCTTAAAGATAGGTACAATGCCACATAAATACTTTTAAGTCCCATAATGTTTCTTATTAAAGTGAACACAAAAATATTGTTTAAATGCTAATTGAGTTCATAAACAGGTTAAGTTTTTAAGAAAGCAAAGAATGCAGTCATCTGAGTGCTTCCTGTGATTCCTAATGACCTGTTGATTTTAATCTCATGTTGATGTTCCCTGTTCTCTAACACATCATTCTAATTAAATACACACCAAAGTTTCAGCTTCATACGAGAGAGTGTAGAAAGCATACAGTGTGCTTGTCACACAGGTGGCTTCAGGGGTCAATCTCTAAAACTCCAGAGATTGGTCTGAGGCCCAGAAAAAGAAAAACAAAAGTAAAAGAGGAAAGGGAAGAAGAGAAGGAAGGAGAGAGGGAGAGAGGAAGAACATTTCTCCTTCTCTAAATCCTGAGGTCTGAGGGAAGAACCTCCCACCAGAAATTGTTCCTGTTGAATCTGTCACTTCTGTACTTCATCGTGGCTGTGGTCTCCTCCTCAAATCATGAGTCCCTCTGAGTTCTAATTTTCTCATCTGCAAATTATAGATAATTGTAGTAATCCCAATCTTTCCAGGCTGTTGCAAGGCTTAACTGTGACAATATGTGTGAAAGCAATTGAAAGCTTCTACAGTATCTTACAAATATTCACCTATTGTGGGAATGTGTGTTCATGAGGAGAAAGTGTGGAGCTTCATCCTACATGATATTCAACTCCCTCTGATCCCTCCCTGGAAGAAGCGTGTATGGAAAGCTACCCTTAGAATCAGGAAGAAATGAGTTGCCAAAGATGGGAGGAGGTAGAAACAGGGAGAGCCGGGACAAGAGACTGTTTAATGTTCAAAACCTGTGCCAAGCTAAATTAGAAACATGAGTCTATGTACCTGTAACTTACCTCATCGGTATATAATTTGTAACCTGAGATCCCCTCACAGAGAAGTAAAAATAGCCAGGCTCTGCAGAGGCCTGTGCTCTGCTGAGTGTGGAGGGCAGGGTGGGGGAGGGCCCGCAGGGAAGGGGTAGAAGGGCTAAAGATGCTAATCATGCTTTCTTAGAGAATATGCCTACTCCGCTGTCCCTAGGGACGGCATGGGGAATACAGCCAAGAGAGGTGACATAAAGGACCCGCCAAGAAAACCTTCTGAGGAAAGGGAGACCTGCTGCCCTAGAGCCACCTATTTTTGTTTTTCTTTGGGTTCTGTCATAGACTCTATGACATTTCCTCAAAGTGAAGTGTCATTGAAGTTCTGCACCTGCCCAATCCTGCCATGATGTAGAAAAGTCAACTAATTCATGAAACCCAAGAGAAGCAAGTGCTCCCACAGCTGCAGAGCAGATCAGTCTGATTTTTCAAGGTGTGTAGCCACCTCCTAGCCCCAAGGAAGGAAAGGAATCGCTACATCAGTGATTTTCAACCCGTCTGCCACAGAGCACTAACATGCCCTAAAAGGATCTTAGGTGTGCCACAAACAGTTTTAAAGACCATTAATTAAATTATTTTCCAAAGAAGTTCAAAGCCCAGGAGGTATATTCTTCTTTTTACTCTTTTTTTGATCAACATAAATTTAAGCATACCATGAAAGTTTAACTATAGGTTCGAGTATGCCGCCATGAGATAAAAAAGGTTGAAAAACAAAGTGCTAAATGATTGCCTTGCTCTGTGTTAATGCTCATTCTCTGAGAGAATGAGACCATGAACTGCCAAAGAACAGTTTGCTCCCTTCCTTCAATTTAGGGTCTAAGCCATTGGTTCTCAACCTTCCTAATGCCATGGCCCTTTAATACAGTTCCTGTGGGTCATGACCCACAGGTTGAGAACCACTAGTCTAAGCCTTTCACATAAACTGCAATGTATTTTGTCATGATTTGGCTTCCCTTAACTCCTGCTATATGGAGAAAGTGATCAAGTAGTAAGGAGAGCTGATTTTTAATTAATCACATTAGAAATATTAGCTCCCTTTTAAGTGCCTACTAGCCACATGTGGCTAGTGGCTGTTCTATGGGACCTTGAAGCTAAAACAATGCCCAGAATTTAATAGATGCTCAATGAATGTAATGTTTCCTCTGTTCACTAATATCTTAACCAAATCTGAAGTTTGGTTAGCACTGAAGTTTCCACTTTGAGAGCAATGTAAATAACATCTTTGACACAAATAAGATGTATTTAATAAACAGGCTTGCTCTCAGCTGGGAACAAAGCACAGAAGTGGCATGATTTCTATTCACCACAACACATATTATCCAAAATGATCTGGAACTGCAGCCACAAATTTGCTCTAGTTTTTAATGCATTTCAGCTTCCATACTGTGCATTTGACACCCTCTTGGCTTTGAAAATTAATGAACTCTTGGGCTAAAGAACATATCACATGCCCATAGCCAGAGTAATTAGGCAAGATAGATGGACAGATACATAGATAAATGCAAATAGGAAAGAAGAAAAATTATCTCTGCTGCTGACAGCTCGTGTATTTAAAAAAAACCAAAAAACTCCACAAAAAAAAGTTGGAACTAATAAATGAATTTGCCAAAGTTATAGGATATAAAATCAATATATAAAAATCAGTAGCATTTGTACACACCAGCAATGAGCTATCTACAAAAGAAATTAAGAAAACAATCTCATTCACAATAACATAAAAAAAATTGTAAATTTAACCAAGATGATGAAAGGTCTGTGCAGTGAAATCCATGAAAACTTTGATGAAAGAAATTGAGAGATACAAACAAATGGAAAAATGTCCTGTGTTCATGCATTGTAATGTTTAATATTGTCAAAATATCTATACTACCCAAAGCAATATATAAATTCAATGTAATTTCTATCAAAATTCTAATGATATTTTTTCATAAATAGAAAACAAAAGTCCTAAAATTCATATGGAACCACAAAAGACGTCTAATAGCCAAAGAAATCTTAATTGAAAAGAATAAAGCTGGAGGCCTCACATTATCTAACTTCAATATATATTACAAAGCTATAATAATCAAAACAGTATGGTACTGGCATAAAACAGACACACCCACCAATGAAATAGGATAGAAAACGCCACAATAAACCCACATGTTTACAACCCATTGATTTCTGAGAAAAATTCTAAGCACGTACAGTGGAAAAAGAATAGTCTCTTCAACAAATGGTGTTGGTAAAACCAGATTTCCACATGCAAATAAAATCAGACATTTATCACATACCATATACAAAAATCAACTCAAAATGGATTAAAGATTCCAAAATAAGACAGGACCCTGTCAAACTACTAGAAGAAAAGATAGAGGAAAAGCTCTACAACAATGGGCTATGCAATGCTTTTGGGATAGGACCCCCAAAGCAAAAATATACAAATGAGATTACATCAAACTAAAAAGCTTCTGCATGGCAAAGCAACAAAGTGAACAATAAACATAATGAAAAGATAATCTACAGACTGGAAAAAACATCTGTAAACCATATATCTGATAAAAGGCTAATATTTAAAATACATAAGGAACTCAAACCAAGAAACTCAAGCAAGAAACCAAATAACCTGATTTGTTTAATGGGTAAAAAGCCTGAGTAGACACATCTCAATAGAAGACATACAAATGGACAATAGACATTGTTGAAAAAGTGTTCAACATCACTAATCATCAGAAATATGCAAGTTAAAACCACAATGTAATTGTAATACTCAATACATACCAATAACAAAAGGTGAATGCCCCTCACATTGAGCAACTCTTGTAACTGCAGTAGTCAAATGTAAACTGAGCATTACAAATTTAATACATTTTTTTTCCTTTCTTAAAATGTGTATTCATTTCTTGCCACAATTATCAAAAAAGGCAAAAGATGGCTAGGCACAATAGCTCACACCTTAATCCTTGAGCAAGAGTAAATTTTTCTAGTACTAACACTAGAAAAATTATCTGGGTGTTGTGGTGGGCACCTGTAGTCCTAGCTTCTCAGGAAATTGAGTCAAGAGGATCATTTGAACCCAAGAGTTTGAGGTTGCTGTGAGGTAGGATGACACCACACCACTCTGGCCTGTGGCAACAGAGTGAGACTGTCAATAGATAGATAGGTAGGTAGGTAGATTAGATAGATAAATAAAAATAACCAGTGTTGGCAAGGATGTGCCTATTGTTATAAATATAAATTAGTATAGCCATTATGGAAAACACTAGGACAGTTCCTCAAAAAATAATAAAATAGGACTACCATATGATGCAGCAATCCCACTTCTGGGTATACGTCTAAAGGAATCAAAAGTGGTATATTAAAGAGATACCTGCATTCACATGTTCATTACAGCATTATTCAAATAAATAAGGTAGGAATCTACTTAAATGTCCACCAACAAAATAATAGATGAAGAAAACATGGCATGCACACACAATAGAAAATTATTGAGCCTTACAAAAGAAGGCAGTCTTGTCCTTTGTGACAACATGGATGACCCTGTAGGCCATCCTGCTAAGTGAAATAACCCAGGTAACAGAAAAACGAATACTGTATAATCTCTCTTACATGTGGAAGCAAAAACAAAGTCAAACTTACAGAAGTACTTAAACAGAGTTCATAGAGTGATGGTTACCAGAGGCTTGGGGTGGGGAGGTGGAGAATAGGGAAGTGTTCGACAAAAGGCACAGTTTCAGTTAGGCAGGAGGAATACATTTTCAAGATCTATCAAACAGTATGGTTACCATAGTTAATAGAAATGCATATTACACATTTTAAAATTGCCAAAAGAATAGATTTTACATGTGCTAACTACTAAAAAAAATGACTGTCTGAGGTGATGGATATATAAATTAGCTTGTTATATTAGGACATCATACTGTATGTCATAAATAAAAAATCTACATCCATGTTGGAAAGTTTATAACTCATCTTTTCTAAAATACCCCCACTGGAATTTTACCAAGAGCTTTCTGAATGTCACAGCTATTAGTCTGAAACCGTCCAACCCAAGATTACCTGGTCTCCTCTCAAGAAGGCAAGCTGCTACTCAAGTCCATTCTGCATTGTTATTGCTGAAGAATATAGAATTCTGAACAAATAGAAGACTCAAAGATTGGGCCAGACTATAGTCACAGATTGGGGTTCTTTCAAGGGCTTTCTTTGTCCCTTAAGTCATAAGGACGCTGATGCTTTTCACAGATATTCTGGGGGGGGGGGGGACACAGTATTAGAGCTCTCAGATGATCAAAAACACATGGCACAGTGGTTTTACATCTTTCTAAATCTCCTGCATCTATCTCTGTTGCCTTCCCAGCATCCCTTCCTCATGCCATTGGTACCATCTCCCTAATAATCCTTGGGGGAATTAAACTTCCATTGGACAAAGCTTAGTGAGACTCTTTAATTAAATTCTCTGGTCCTGTGTGCCAAAAAGTTTGTGTTTGACCCAAACTAAACCAGTTTTTTCTCTCCTTACAATCTGATCCTTAAGCAAAGTGACAGAGGATTCAAAATGGCTAACGTTTTTCACTCTGATCCTGATACACTAACATTGAAGAGACTATCTGTAAATTCTCCCACTGTTAGCAAAACCACAGGGGAGCTTGGGCCTAGGTCTAGTTACCTGCTTTACAGATTTACAGATAGCCATTACTAAGACAATGAGGACTGCCAAGAAAGGAATTTTTGTTTTTGTTTTTGAGACAGAGTCTTACTTTGTCTCCCTCAGTAGAGTACCATAGCATCATAGCTCACAGCAACCTCAAACTCTTGAAGTCAAGTGATTCTCTTGCTTCAGCCTCCTGAGTAGCTGGGACTAGGCCCCTGCCACAATGTCCGGCTATTTTTTGAGATGAGGTCTTTCTCTAGCTCAGGCTGGTCTTGAACCCATAAGCTCAGGCAATCTACCTGCCTCGGCCTCCCAAGTGTGAAAGACATTTGTCAGGAGAATAGGGAATCAGAATCAGCCTCAAATCCATCTCTCCTACTGAAGGAGCTTTTAAAAGAGGGGCCATGTGTCCTGGGGAGCTGGTAGTATTACTAACAAGGCCCATGTGCTTTGGGGGCAGTTGTGGAGGATAGTGAGTCTTGATGTCAGGAAGCTTACTCAGGGGCCTTCCGAGTCTCAGCTCCAGAGTCTTGTAAAAATCCTGCTTTTTTGGGAAACAACTTATAGCTAGTCAAGGGAGAAAGTTATTAAAAAAAAAAAAAAGAAAGAAAAAGAACAGATAGGGGTTATTAGAATTTGTTCATAGCGCCAGTCACACCCCTAGATTCTAAGGGTTTCCTTGTTTCTCCTTTCCAAGGACTAGTCTGAGTCTTAGGCTTTTCCTTCAATCTCAGAGTTCTCTTGCATTCAATAAGTTCTTTTTGTTTTCCTCTTTAAGTTATCCAGAGTCGGTCTTTTGCTTGAACCCAACCATTCATAACTAAGATAATATGTAATGTTTTGTTATCAAATATGAATTCTCTCAGGCCCATGCCTGCTTGGTCAAAATGAACTTTCTGCTCTTTCCCCGATTAAGCAGAGAGATGCCGGTTAACGAGCTTGTGAAGTTGAGTAATAGTCTCAGACAATTGCTTTGCAGTCTCCCAAGAGCCCTAATTAGAAGCCTTTATTTGGCTTTAACTGAGGCAACTTTTACTGAGGAGGTGAGGATTTTTGAAGGACAGAGAATCTTCAGATTATTTTGACCTGAGAACAACACTTCAGAGGGATTCTAATTGCTAACAGCCATGTTGCAATACCAAGTATAACGAGGCTAGGCCCGAGGCAAGTAGCATTTTTTATTTCAGGGCAAATTGTTCACAATATGAAACTCCTTACTCAAGGTTGACCTCTTTGCTCATCTTCATCTTTCTTTATCAAGTTATATGGCCTTTTGTAGTTCTACTTCAGCAATTACTTCAGGAAGTCACAGATGCTTCAAGCTCTCTATCCTATCTGAAACAAACAAAAATTATGTACAATTAAATGGAAATATTGTTGACAGTGAAAATATTTACAGGTACTGGCATCGATACATAGAATACAGTGTGACTGTCAATGATGGAAAGATATTTGTGACCTGAGAGAAATACAAGACTAATCGTCTTGCAAGCATGATATAAAACAATTGCCAGAAGTCGTACACAGTATAGGGTATAAGCCCATTTTTCTTGTAATCTACATTACAAAGGATCATTTTTAAATGAAATCTCATAATTCTACTGCTGTGCCCCTGTTCCCATTCATATTTCTTTAGGAATGTTTTCTCTCCTGCAACATCATTACCAGTTCCCATATTTTAGGCGCCTGTGTTGATCTTGAGATCAAGCCACGGACTCTTTTCCTCCTTAATTAGGAAAAGTCTTACTTGGGTGCAAGATAAGCCATGTTTTTTCACATTCTCCAAGTGTATTATCTATGTCTGGCTAATAAGAAATAGACATTTAGAAGTTCCATAAATTCTTTCAGGTCATTCTAGCCACATTTGAAATCCTAATGCTGTAATTTGCAGATTTGAACCCCTATGGCCTACAAAGGTGAGTTCACCCTTGATTAGTTTACCCTGGAGAAAAGCAGCTACACAGGCCTGACAGGCAATGGTAGTATTCTGCCCATTAAATCTTCCATGACATTCATGCATCTCAGGAATTAGGGACTAATGTAAAATGGCAACTTAATATTCAGAAAACATTATGGAATAGTCTATCTAAAGCACGTTGCATAAATTATAAAGTATTTAAATATTCACCTTAGACAAAAGTGTAGTTGCCTCGTTATTATTTGTCAAAAAATGTGAAGGGGCTAAGATTTTACTCTACTTGCCAGTAACAGAATTAGCCTGCCAGTTTCATGGATGTTGGCAGAAGACACAAGACACCAGGGTCAGAAACAAAGGAATTTATCATGTATAACGTGGCAACCAATAAGAAAAATATGTTTGCAACAGGTTCCCTTTCTCCCAAGTTTCCCAGAAGTGACACAGATCAGCCCAGTGTGTGGTGTTACAGAAGAAAAACCCTGAGCTTCAGCCACATCTTATATAATGAGCAGTAGGCGTGCCTTCTCTTTGCTCTGGAGGAAACATCATCTCTGTTATACTGGACTGTAAGGAAACATGCCCTTCACTCAGGAAGGAGATACTATCTCTATTTTCCAAGTCTGTTCACTAAACATCTTTGAAAAGATAGTTCAGAAGAAAAGCCTCAGTGCCTCAGGGCAGAAATACAAATAACCCAACAGAGAATTGTCTCCCTATATTCCTAGCCCATGTTCAATTTTCTATAAAATGTTAGAGATGCTTTTAGATAAAATGTGACTAAGAGTAGGGAATACCTAATAAGGATCATTGATCAATGACAGATCTGTTTCTTAGCCTCTTTATTTGGGGCATCTTGATCAGAAATATAATTGTAATAGAAATAGAAATTTCTCCTTAAAGACAACTGAAGAGCTATTTCTTTTAATTCAAGATATTAAGTGTATTCTTTGTGAGTGACATAACCTACCTTATAGAATGAACTAGATATGACTTACTAAAAATATAGGTGTATTTGCCACTTACTCTGAGTATAGCATGACATTGTGCTCAATAGTTTGTTTATGTTATTCATGCCTTCTAAAATATCTTGGCGTTATTATTTCAGTGTTGATATGGACGGCAAGAAGTAGTGTCCTTGTGGCTAAAGTTCAGGGTGCTCCTCAGTACTGTCAGGTTCAGAAAGGGGCAAGACTTTGTACCATGGAAGAAGTGGCAGTGTTCCCAGAGGGTCTTCAGTGTTATCAGAGGGACAGACTTTACGGAGGGACATATGGAGTGTGGGTATAAACAGTAAGGCAGGAAAGCCACGAAGCCACCAGGGCCACCTCCTTGTGAAGACCTAAGGTTTAGGGAGTCTTTTCTTTGAGTTGACTGGGCTGTAATCTTTGTTTCTCTTACACCGTACGTAATATCACTCTGAAATTATCTTAACCATTCAGCAAAAAACTTTACATATACCTGTGAATTCTGGAGAGTGAGTCTTTCAGAGACTGAAATAACGGAGCTCCACACCATTTCCTCCTAGACTGGCTTATACCCCTCCCATGGCTCAGACTCATAGTCATCAGTTATCCTTCGTTGTGGATCCTGCAGTCATGTTCTTCAGGGAACAACCCACGAGTATTCTCAAGCCTAGGGAAGGCAGCTTTTGCAAGAGGGCCTCACTGACCTCTAGGCTACATTCCCAGGGATCAAAATCCGGCTCTGAAAGTACACAATGTACTTAGTATTGCTGTAATCCTTTCTGTCCCTGGTTGCCACTGCATGCAATTGTGCCAATATTGGATTTGCAAAGTGGCGAAAACCAGAAATGATGGGAATCAAATGTCCCTTCTTCCAATAGATGATACGTTAAGGACCCATTTGCCCTTTTCCAGGAAGAAAATAACTTTCAGGAAGAGTTCTTGGTTCTCTGTGATATTGCATTTAATTGCCTCATGTTTGTGTGTGTCGGGGGGGGGAATAGTGGTGGGGGGCATTAGCATACCTATTTGAAAGAAAAAACAAAAAAGTCTCGGAAATTTCAGATAACGAGTCCAAATTCATGTAACTACTCAAGGCACACATAGGATTTAAACTGAGTTCTGAGTCCAAACCCTATGCTATTTTAAAAAGTCTATGAATGCCTTTTGTAAACCAGAGGTATAAAATATACCATAAACGTGGGCTATTGTGAACATATCTTTGGAGACTTTTGCAGGAAACAGAGAAGACAAAATCTGGAGCTGTCCTAAGCGATTAAGTGATTTCTGATGGATTTACGACCACACCATCCTCCCTACAGATAAGAAAGGACTCAACTCCTTAGTGAATCTCTTTCACAAAAGCATTTCAGATTGCAGCCAGCTTTTCCCTCAAGCAAACCAATCCTAACTATAAGAAATCCAAAAACTAACTCCAGAAGTCATATGACCTAAAATTTCTAACCCACAACAGATAAAGCCAGCAAAGTCCAGGGCCAACGACAGGTATGAGAATGTTGGGGCAGTACTGTTACCAGATCTTACACCAGGCTCTGAGAGCAGCCGGAGCAGCCATGCAGTAAAACAATATTTAATTACTCTCTACCAGGGTTCTGGGGATCATTAACATACAAATAATCATTCAGATTTTCTTGTCAACAGCTAAGTGGTGAAAACCAGAAAAGATGGGATACAGGGTGACAATGACCAGAGTTTCTAAATAAAGGTGTTGGGGAGGGCGGGAGAGGGGTAGGTGCCAGTAGTCAGGGGAGAAGCCAGAGAGGAACAGTGACGTTTTCTTTCTCCTAGAGTCTAGCTTAAGATGTCAGCAGAAGACCGGCTGTTATCTCCAGGATCTCTGCTCTATTCACTGTCTGACTTTCCACCAGCCGAACCCAGACTTCAGAAGGTTATTATGGAAAAGCAGTGGTTACAGCCCAAGGTCCCATGCCAGTCTGGAAAACAATTCAGGAGATTGTTTTACCCAGTGATTCCACAGAAAAATTATGGATCTCTAGAGTTCATTCTTCTTTAAAAAATCAGTAAGGGGATTATGAAATGTGTATACCATAAAATATGTCACCTGATCTCCAGGTTTTTTGTCAGTTTTGATATTTATCAAGGGGTTACTATGTGCCAGGAAATCTGCTGGGTGCTTCTTGTGTAACATAGAGATGCCTAATCTTCACCAAAAAACCCCTCAAGTATGTATGACTGTTCTCATTTTGCAGATAAGGAAACTGAGTCTCAGAGAGGTTAAGAACTGGACAAAGGACTTATCAGTGATACAACTGGGTTTCAAACCCACGTCAGTAATTTGATTCCAAAGCCACCTCCTCTTCCAGTAAATAAACAGCTCCTTAAGTGAGGGTCAGAGAAGTTTGGAGGGCAGGTATTTAGTATCTTTAAGTTTTATATTGGAACAACTCTTTAAGCCAAAGACATTAATAAATACATCTGTAGTTGTGTACTTTATCAGTGGTCAGACCAGAAGGTATTGTCAAGAATAGCAAGAATTTTCCTAATGGGCCTGGCTGTGAGGCCAGTCAGGTCTGGGAGCTGAATCTCTTAAAGTACACTAACTGTACCCAGAAGGTGAACAGCTACCGGCCAAGTATTTGTACATAGATAAAAATCTATCTTTTCCCTCCAAAGCCACTGACCCAACACTGGTCAGGAAATTGAGCCCAGCCCTCTTCTCAAAGAGAGTGGCAAGGACTCACTCCAGGAAACTTTGGGCCCCTTCCACCCAGGTGCTTGGGGCGTCCACTGATTCCAGTTCCTCCCACTCCACCTGTTTCTCTCAGGATCAATGAATTTCATGGTTACATGCTCAGGGGACCCAGCCACCCCACTTTCCTATCCTGGATGATGGTATTCCAAGCACATCCTGGAGATAATCATTTGAAAAGAACTTGTCCTCTTTTCCTTCGTGTTCCTCTTGTTACATCAGGAGTCAGAAATTCCTTTGGAGATGAACCTGGCTTTATCTTCCATTTGTTCCAGTCACACCACGCTTCACCCCAATTCCCAAATATACCTCAGAGTTTTCAATTCCTCAGCCTCTGTGCACACTGTTTCATTCCACCTGAGTGGCCAAATTCTCTGTCTCCATTGAATAAAATGCAGACACATTTATTTTCTTTATAACCATCCAACCATCCGTCTTTTTATGGTGAACACTGGATTAGAGAACTTGGTTTGAACCTGTAACCTAGACCTTGGGACCCGCCCATCTGACCCAAGGGGAGAGTCAGATACCACTCTACAAACTGCAGTGAAACTGAACAAAAATTGCAGAAAATGCCTTTCTATCTATTGGTATACTCTGTGATACAGAAAAATAAGATGATTAAATCTTTAAGTGAATTTTCTCTGATAACCAGGAACTGGGGATCACCTTCAAACTGGTTTCTTTCACATATTGACATTGAACCTAGAAATGTG